TCGCCGAGAAAATAGACATCCTACGGCGACCGAGACCGGGGTCCTACTACGGACAACGTCCTCAGGGACCGACCGAGCACGCCACCGTACACGCCGTTGCGACGAATGCAGCTGCCGCGCCATTTAAGGGGCGCTGCTTTGCTTGCAATAGGCCGGGCCATCGCAAAAGTGAATGTCCAGAGGAGCTAAGGCGCCGTGGAACAGAGCAGGGGCGAGAGTCTTAGAGGCCGGGAAACGCCAGCAGTCAGTAGAAGTTGGGCCAACTACTGACAAGACTGCCTGCTCGCCCAACTTCACCGACCCTCACCGAGTCACAGTACCGATTCACGATATCGATCGGGCTCAGACGAATAAGGAGGGTACAGCGACGGATTGCCCAGTACTGATTCACGGGAAAATACAGGGAGCAGCAGTGAAGATTTTTATAGACGGAGGTGCAAGTCACAGCTTAGTTAATACCGCGACTGCAAGGAAGTTGCAACTAACACTTAGTCGGTGCTTACCAGAGATCGACGCACGCTTAGTTGACGGAACGCCACTGGCCATACGGGAGAAAGTGGAAAGAGTAAAAGTCCGCTGTGGGGGGAATTTCGGTTTTACACAGGAAATGCTCGCGACGACATTGGATGGGCACGACATTTTACTGGGACGTGATTGGCTGCGGCGATACAACCCGCGAATCGACTGGACGACAGGCAGCTGCACTGTGCGAAGTAGCGGTAACTGGGTGGAGCTACCTCGCTGGCAGTCGCCTGAGTCTTCAACGGTCCACGTTAACGCCATCACGATGAAACGGGCTGTCGCCGCTGGAGCTGACGTGTACGCGGTAGATATCGCGATAGTGGAAGAAGCGGACAAACCAAGTGATTTTCAGAAACTACTGGAAGCAGTACCATCGGGACTACAGGACCTGTTGAAACGATTCCCGGGGATCTTCCCCGATGACCTACCCGAGGGGCTGCCACCTCAGCGGGCGCACGATCACCGAATAGAATTAGAGCCCGGGGCACAGCCAACCGTACAGCGACAGTTCAGACTGACACAGCCCGAGCTTGACGAGCTAAGGAAGCAGTTAGATTACTTGTTAGAGAAAAAATTCATCCGACCGAGCTCATCGCCATTCGCCGCACCGATACTGTTCACACCGAAAAAGGGCGGCGGGTTTCGCATGTGTATCGACTACCGAGCACTGAACAGGGTTACAGTTAAATCACGATACCCCATCCCCCGAGCTGACGAACTGATAGATCAACTGCGAACAGCGCGAGTCTGTTCGAAAATCGACTTACGGGGAGGTTACCACCAAATTAGGGTCGAACCGTCGGACTGCGCCAAAACAGCTTTTAGGACTAGGTACGGGTCGTTCGAATATACGGTGATGCCTTTCGGGCTGACCAACGCACCGGCGACTTTTCAGATGACGATGAACGAGGCATTTAGGCCACTCTTACATAAATGCGTAATCATCTACCTCGACGACATCCTCGTCTACAGTCGGGATAAGCAGCAGCACTTAGAAGATTTAGAAGCAGTATTTACAGTTCTAGGCAAACACAGACTACTGACAAAGGGTTCCAAGTGCGAGTTTTTTCAGGATAGGCTAGAGTTTTTGGGGCACGTTATTTCGGAGGCTGGCGTAGAAATCGACCCGAAGAAATTGGACACGGTAAAAGCGTGGCACCCCCCGACGAATATCACAGAACTCCAGAATTTTTTGGGTTTTGTTAATTACGTGCGCCGGTTCGTCCCCGACATGGCACGCTTAATGGCCCCGCTTACGGACTTGCTAAGGAATGGGGTCACTTTTACGTGGGGGGAGAAAGAGCATACTGCCTTCTCCACCCTAAAAACTGTTCTCTGTTCACCGCCCGTACTACGCATCGCCGACCCACACCGCCCATTCGAAGTGGTTACTGACGCAAGCGACATCGCCATCGGCGCCGTACTGCTACACGACTTCGGCAACGGGTTACAGCCCATCGCCTACGAATCACGAAAGCTGCATCCGCCCGAGAAGAATTATCCGATACACGATCGCGAAATGCTTGCGATCGTGCATGCATTCAAAGTGTGGCGCTGTTACTTGACCGGCGCCGACGTGACAGTACGGACAGATCACAAGTCACTACAGTACCTCCGCGCACAACCCCACCTCAACCCACGACAAATCCGCTGGCTCGACTACCTCGAGTCGAATTTTCACTACACGGTTACCTACAAAAAAGGGGTATCGAACATCGCCGATGCATTAACCCGACCCACAGCCCAAGTTCACGCCATACTACTCGCCCAGACCAGCCCACTGTTAACAGACCTATTTACCCACGGTTACCAAACTGATCCATTTTTTACAGGCGGAAACTCGCAGCAGTTTGCAGCAGCAAGAGGAGTCTATTACGTAAAAGCCGGCACCGATCGCATCTGGGTACCGGGCTACACACTTCTACGGGAATTACTGTTGCAGGAGGCACACGACAGAGTTACCTCAGGGCATTTCGGAGTAGAGAAAATATGGCAGCAGCTGCAACGGTACTACTACTGGCCCGAAATGTTGACCGACGTGCAACGACACGTGGCATCGTGTCCCACCTGCCAGGTCATGAAATCATCACGGAAGCGGCCGGCAGGACAATTGCAGCCGATACCACCCCCAGAGCGTGCTTGGCAGCAGGTGAGAATGGACTTCGTCACGGGGTTACCGGCGGGTGCGAGTGGGAACGACGCGATCCTGGTCGTCGTCGATCGACTGACGAAAATGGCACATTTCGCAGCATGCAAGAAATCAATCACAGCCGAAGAAACGGCCCGCCTCTTCATCGCAACCGTTGTTCGATTACACGGGATACCAGCAGCGATAATCAGCGACCGAGATACGAAGTTTACCAGCAATTTCTGGCGGAACCTGTGGCAGCAGTTCGGCACGAGGCTGCAGTTCAGTTCTTCGTACCACCCCGAAACCGACGGACAGACAGAACGGACAAACCAGACCATGGAACAGTTAATCCGGGCCACGTGCGACGACCCCACCACCTGGGAACAGCAACTTCCACTAATCGAATTCGCGTACAACAACTCGCCATCCGGACAAGACCCTACAGTACTCATGACCCCGAATCCCGACAACCCAGTGCCACGAGTGCAACAGTTCGCGGAAATTTTACAGGAAGCTCGGACCAGGGCAGCAGACGCAATTAAAAAGGCGAACGTTATCGCTAAGCGCAACGCAGACCGACACCGCCGACCAGTCACTTACCAACCCGACGACTTAATTCTACTCGACACTCAAAACCTCCGCCTGCCCATAACTCCGAAACTCCGCCCCCGATATTGTGGGCCGTTCCGCATCAGCCTTATGGTCACACCGGTCACCGCCCACCTCCTCCTCCCCGCTGACTGGTACGTCAGCCCCTCCTTCCACGTCAGCCTACTTCGCCCCTACATCCCATCCACCAGCCAACTGGCCCGACATCGCCCAACCAGCATGATCCGACCACCGACCGAGCCAGTCATCATGCCATTCTGAGCCACCGAGTTCGTGACCCACAAGGAGCCCGAAGGGTCGAATTTTTAATACGCTGGAGAGACCGCACACCCACCGAGGACAACTGGGTTCCCCTGGACAAAATCGAAAACCACCCCGTCCTCAACGACTACTTGCGCAGCAGAAATTTCCGGGATATACACGCGCTCTCGTAAAGGAGGCCTCCTTGAGGGGGGGGTAGTGTAAGGAAAATTCATTTTCCTTACTTTGCGTTTCTGCTCAGTGCGTACAACACTGACAGCACCCCACAATATCCCGTTACCACCCGCGACATTCGCCGCGACACCATTCCCGCCACTGTTCACGATGCGACCCAACCACACGGTTCGGTTGGTAACCCGCGCTCCGGACCTCCGCCTCGACAGTTCCCCAAACCTCGGCATCAGGCCCGTCGCGCACCCCATTTTTCCACGTTACCGTTACCACTATAGTTTCGCTATATATTCTTCGCTCATTCCTTCGCTCATTGTATCTTGTCTCGATAGTGCAACCCTCGCTCGCTCACTCCATTGCACTCGTAACACATGACCCTCCAAGCTCGAAGCGTGTAGTATGTGGACGGGAGCATCTGTGGGCAAGAGACGGCATTGGAATTGCATGGGCCTGGTAAGTGACCCAGCTTGTGATCTTTAGGGCGCGTCCAAATAATGTCAGGTTCAAAAAACAGTTCGACCTTGGTTTGTTACCAACCTTCGTTACTGTCGCCATGCGAAAATACCGACTTTTGACCCAGCACTCGTGCATTTCTGTATTCTGAACGGCGTTCGGAATCCTTCTTGCCTGAACATGCGTGCATGTACATGTTCAAGCGAACCTTTGATGATACAGAACACCCGGACAGCCACTGCTGAGTTTCCCACCATGAAGTCCACCTAGCCTCAATGTCCGATGAACTCAAGGTACTCGCTCGCAAGCATCCCACCCCGACCTCACACATTTTGGGATGCGGCAAATCAATTATGTGTACCCCTTCGTTACGAGCCCGCGATCGCGGAGAAAAGAGGAGCGTCGTCTGTTGCCATCGCGACAATCTCCAGCGAAAATCGTTTCACAACAGCGGCAGCGGCAGCATGAGAGCGCCAGAGCCGCTCGCGATCAGCTGCGCCGCACGCTCAGCCAACAGCGACTGTCGCCGACGCTACTATTATCATAGTCGTCGCGGCAGCGCAGCGCAGCGCAGCGCCGATGATGATGGCGACGGCAGCGACTCTCGCCCTCGCGACTGATCGGCGCCTCGCTCGCCGCTGCGGGTACTCCTCCCTATCCGCGGCCAGTCGCCGCTTCGTCGTCCCCCATCCGCTCCCCCCGCAGCAATTTTCCGCGTCTGCGGCTTCCGCGCTTCCCGCGTTATGTCCGCCGCCAAGACGACCCCGCGGCTGGGAGGGGCGCGGACGGGCTGTCGGGAACGCGCACGCCGCGAAAGGTAAAAGTAGCGGCGCAGCGGGCGGGAAGGTTGCGAATGAGCGCGCAGGAAGCCAATACGCGGGCGGCCACGGCGCGGGAAGCTACGGCAGGCGCGCAGCAGCAGTGGCGCTCACGGGCGATGCAGCTGCAGATGGGCGCGCGGACAGGGGGGACCAGGCGGGGGAGAGGCAGGGCGGGGGAGGGGACAGGGCGGGGGAGGGATAGGCCGGGGGAGAGGACATGCATCACGTCTTATCAAGACGTGGGGTGGTGCAGGCTTGCGCTCGACTGCACGGAGCAAGTGAGCGCAGCAGGTGCGAATGGCGCGTGCGAGTGGCGTGTGCGAGTGGCGTGTGCGAGTGGCGTGTGCGAGTGGCGTGTGCGAGTGGCGTGTGCGAGTCACTTGTGCGAGTGGCGTGTGCGAGTGGCGCGTGCGAGTGGCGTGTGCGAGTGGCGCGTGCGAGTGGCGCGTGCGACTGGGCGCGTGAGAGTGGCGCGTGCGAGTGGCGTGTGTGAGTGGCGTGTGGAAGTGGCAGGTGCGAGTGGCGTGTGCGAGTGGCGTGTGAGAGTGGCGTGTGAGAGTGGCGTGTGCGAGTGGCGTGTGAGAGTGGCGTGTGCGAGTGGCGTGTGAGAGTGGCGTGTGCGAGTGGCGTGTGCGAGTGGCGTGTGAGAGTGGCAGATGCGGGACAAAGCTGCAGGGAAGACGGGAGGCATGCAGGTGGACTCGTCTCCTCCACGCGCCACGCGCGTCCACCTGTACACCGCTGCCACTGTTGCACGTCACTGTGCGGGGCTTCACTCGTGGTGCGGTACGTTGCAGTGGGGTGTGATGGTGGTGGGTTAGGATGGATGGAGGAGCCCTGCGATGGCTGAGCGCACCACAGCATGTCCACTCGCATCCCATTTGCTCACTCACACCCCATTTGCTCACTCACACCCCATTTGCTCACTCACACCCCATTTGCTCACTCACACCCCATTTGCTCACTCACACCCCATTTGCTCACTCACACCCCATTTTCTCACTCACACCCCATTTGCTCACTCACACCCCATTTGCTCACTCACACCCCATTTGCTCACTCACACCCCATTTGCTCACTCACACCCCATTTGCTCACTCACACCCCATTTGCTCACTCATACCCCGTCTTCCCACTCGCATCCCCTCTGCCCACTCGCACCCCGTCTGCCCACTCGCATCCCGTCTGCTAACTCGCACCCCGTCTGCTCACTCACACCCTGTCTGCTCACTCACACCCCGTTTGCTCACTCACACCCCGTCTGCCCACTCACACGCCGTCTGCCCACTCTGCGGCACGAGGTGACACTGTCCGAAATAATCATCTCTCATCCCCACCCACTCTCTCCTCAACTCACCCTCCCCCCCCTTTCCCCCTCCCCAACCCACAGGGCACACTCTCGTGGACTTAGTCTGTGGCAACAGGACAGCTGTACTACCGCTGTGTGCTGACGGGGCAGCTGTACTGGACCGCTGTGTGCTGCACATGCACCCGTGCCGCTGACGGCGTTGGCAGGCCAGGTTACTTTCACTAAGTCATTGTAGCCCAACGGCATGATATGATTGCTGGCTTCCCTGAACTACGTGCTATCTGTACATCATGGCATTTGTGCGACAAACGTGGAAACCACCATCCCTAAGTGAAAAACAACTCTAATGCAGGGATATGCTGCATGTTTAACAAATGGCCATAGTACTACACTAGAGTGCATACAATCACATCCTGCAAATGAGGCAAATGGTTGGGTTCACTTCACTGGGCCACTAAGAATGTTGGCTTCAGCTCGTTGTCAACCAGCCCCTTACATCCCTAAGAGTGAGGCACGTCTCAGAACAGAGGTACTGGGAGTTATCTTTGTGGAGGCTTAACGCATGTTACTGGCACCATCCGGACAAGCCCACGATTGTCGAGAAAAACTAGGATTCGGTTTCGGCGACATTCGCCGGTGGTATATCCGTTGGCAGGGATGAGTTTCACGTCCCAGCGGCACTGCGGCTCCGAGACAAGAATGTAATTGCGAGCCTTGGTTCCCTCCATCCCCACCACCTCGGGCCAACGGAGCTTGCTGCGGACATTCACGAAAACGGCGAAGAGAAAGAGGGTAAGGAATGCGGCTTGAGGACCCATGGGGAGAAGTCGGGATTGGCTGGCGGTGGGGGAGGAGAGGAACAATCGATTGGTTTTCTTGTGGACGAACGGGAGGGAAAGCGAGCGGAGGGTTGGTGAATAGAGGGAAGGAGTTGGGTGGGAAGAAATGGAGCGGGAGGGTGCTTTTTGAGAGAAGCGACACAGAAGTTGTAACGTTGAGAACACACCCGCAAGTAGACGGCGCCGGAATTAATCGTGCTGCGTTTATCGTGGGTGGGAGAACACTGACGACGAGCAGCAGCAGAACCGCAAGGAGAAAGCCATGTCGAAATGTTGTCATGGCTGCTGATTTGCGCTGCTACTAAAAAGTCGTTTACTCAACGACCTGACGTTTAGTTAGAGGCGAAACGGAAGAATTTGTCCACTAAACGTTCTGAAACGACCTCGTCTCAATGCGAACCTGTATGATAGGCCGCAAGATAGGGACAATGACAGAGTTCTAGTAGGAATAAACGGCCCTGGATGTGAGACTCTTGAAGCAACAGCGACAATAGACAGTACAGACTCTCACTACCCATGATCGCCTTGTTGGAGCTGGATATGCACTATTCATCGCGCTGCATCATGCCGCCGTATTTTTTCTCAGCCCAAAAGGGAAGTTTTTAGGGTGTACGAAACGCCGCTCACTACGAACTCTGACAGTTTGAAACCTACGGTTATGCTTGAATCGACAAAAAATCTAACTTGTAGTCGCTCGTTTATTCTGCACAGGAAAGACGGCTGGCACCTCGCTCGGGCATTCTGTACTATGTGAACTGTGCATTCACCTCGCTCATCGCCGATTGGTTCTTGCTTTTGAATCACACTTTTCATGATAAGCACACTGTTGAGATGGGACAAAAACAGAACGAGGCTACCGAACAAAAATACGCAAGGTTGTGTCGAGGTTTCGAGGTGAATGCGTAGCCCACAACACGCAGAAGCGGCCTGACATGGGCTACCATATAATTTTTATTCACGCGCCCTTGCGTCAGACCGCGACTTCCATAAAGAACAACATATAAATTAACCAATGGAGAAACGCAGGCAAAAAGGGAAGGCATCAATCCTAAACACTGGATGGCTTCCCGTGTCTAGGGTTGATTTTCCCAAAGTGTGTCAGGGCTATATAAGGGTTTTATTTTATATCTTGTTCCGTTTTCAGGGGTATGTGCTGGTGAAGTGTTTCTAGCGATATTGTTTCATATTTGTACTTGTAACCTAATTAACCAGTACTTGTAAGTACTATACCACGACCATGTCGACTGAGTACGAATGTAAACCGCTCCAGGCATAATTTGAGTATCAATGATATTGGCCGCAGGCAAAATGACTCGGGCAAGATGATTGTGGCTCGTTCGTGACTCCCGCGAGCTTGGAGGAAAAACAGTGAATGTGATATTTCAGACTGAGCCCCATTGGTTAGAAATTCTCTATAGAAGGAACGGGAGCCACATATTCACGTACATACCCCAAACGACGGGGCCTGCGATAGGTTCTGGAAATCCACAGAATCGGCGGAAGTGGAGAGGAGGGGGAGCTAGCACATGCTGTTGATTCGTAGACAGTCGAATCCGAACTCTGGAGCTACGCCTCAAATCAAATGGAACAAATCGGAGGAGGATCATCGACAACCACCGAATTTGTCAACATCCATCGTTTCCGAGCCACACGGGTCACGCTCGCCCCCAGGATAATTATTTGACGGGATTAGAAATGTTCATATTTTTGGATGCAAGACGAGTGATTTGGTGTGGTGGCAGATAGTAAGGAAAATTCATTTTCCTTACTTCGCGTCCCTGCTCAGCGCGTACATCGTTTCCCGCCAACAGCACCCCATAATAATCCATTACCACTCGCGATATTCGCCTCGACACTATTCCCACCACTGTTCACGACGCGACCTAACCTCACGGTTCGGTTGGTAACCCGCGCTCCGGACCTCCGCCTCGACAATCCCCAACCTCGGCGCTAGGCCCGTCGCGCACCCCATTTTCCACACGTTACCGTTACCACTGTAGCTTCGCTATATATTCTTTGCTCAATCCTTCGCTCATTGTACTATTATCTCGATAGTGCAATCCTCGCTCGCTCACTCAATTGCACTCGTAACATTCGGTATTCAGAGCCTACGATCTTCTCTCTGACCGCACTCACACCTTCGCTTCCCCACTATCTCAATTTTGGGGGGGGGGTAGATGTCTCTCTGCGACCAAGCACCGCCGCTCGTAGTGCTCTCTCGTAAGCACGCACGGCCACGACAGAGGCTCTCGCTAAGCTTGCCCGACACCCCCGCCATGGCTGAAATCACTCTCGCGATACTGACGCAAGTGCAGCTCGACCGTCTCGTGCGTCAACTCGAAGATTCGGCCCTCGAAATTGCTACACTCACGGCAGAACGCGACTCCGCTCGCCAGCAATCGACAGTGAATGCACCAGCACCAACCAATGCACCTGCACAGTCAGAGGAGCCGATCATCATCTCATCAGGCACCCCGACACAGAACGACAGCGTGGGACAACGCTAAAGCGTAGCCAGCGATGGCGCCACTCACTCAATGCCTGGCATGGAGAGAAATAGGGCCGCACCAAGCCCACGCGAGCCTCGTGAAGCTCGTCGGCACGTGGAGTTTGCAGCAACAAGCGGCAACCACGACATCATGGCAACAATGCCACTCAAGCCGCAGCGCCCGCCCTGTTTCGATCCAAGCCAACGTGGAGGTGTGACGGTTCAATCGTGGGTCTTGACGATGAACGTGTTTTTCGACGCGAATTACGTCGAGTCGAACGCAGCGAAGATTCGCTACGCCGTTTCGCTGCTGAGAGGCCCCGCCATGGACTGGTGGCGAATCATCGTGACGTCGCCACGCGCCTACGAGCTACCGTCGCAAGAGGAAGGGCCCACGGGCCCAGCCGTCACCAAGAGTTCATTTTGCGAGACAGCCCAGTACAGCACGTGGGATGCGTGGTGTGCAAGGCTTCGGGCGCGCTTCGAGCCGATCGCGGCTTCTATTTCGGCGCGTCAGAGACTACGTACTGTCAAAATAATGAACGAGAATGAATGAACTATGAAAGTGTTGGGTACAAGTACTATAACCATAATTGGGTTGTACCCCTTATGACCTACCCCACTACAGCCTACACAAATGTATAAGCTATAATGTTCTGACACACCCGCATAGGCAAAGTGGGGGAGAACAAGTGGTCACAAGACCAGTCAAGAAAAGCAAAGCAAGCTCAGGGTGGATCACAAAGTCACCACACAGTCTGAGCACAAGCAAAGGGCCACAAGGCCAGTTCACATGCAGAGTTATATAAAGAGAACAAACAATACGGTGATCATACCCTAGCAAGTGCAAGCATGCAGGTATATATATAGATCCAGTACAAGCAGAGTCAAGCAGTAAGAAAGTGAGGCAAAGTGGGCACAACGCCTAACAGAGTAACAAAGCGCTGATGATCACCAGGCGGAAGTGCCTTGGTGAAGACATCAGCAGTGTTGGCCCGAGTGGCCATGCACGCGAGACGAAGCTGGCCACGCTGCTGCAACTCTCGAGCAAGGAAGTATCGCAGAGCGATGTGCTTCGTTCTGTGCTCCAGTCTGTGCTCCTGACATAAGGCAATCATGGCCTTGTTGTCTACGTACAGAACTGGAGGCGAACGAAGTTGCTCTCCCAAGTCGGTCAGCAAGTAGGTCAGCCACCGGAGCTCCTGAGCAGCCATAGCCCCGGCGTAGATCTCAGCCTCACAACTGGAGCTGAGAACCGAAGACGAATGGGTAGACCGCCACGACACAGAGCCAGAACCAAGACTAAAGGTGTAACCCTGTGACGACCGCTGCGTAGCTAAGTCGTGACCGGTGAGAACAACTGGACCCCGTCCTCCAAGCACGAGCCCCATGCCTGACGTACTGCACAGGTAACGCAGTACCCTCTTCGCAGCATCCTAGTGCACCTTTCGGTGCCTACCGGGAGCCACGTAGCGAGAGAGAAGGCTGAGAGGGTACGCGAGGTCAGGTCGTGTGCAACTCATCAGGTACATGAGGCAACCCACAAGCTCTGGGTACGGACCACTCGGCTCTACGGACTCGTCCGAAGGTGGAGCTGAGAGCGAGTGGCTGGTAGACAGAGGAGTGGGCTGTGGCGAGGAGAGCTGGAAGCCCAAGCGCTGAAGGACCTGGTGCACCATGTGTGACTTAGTCAGTGTGATGGTGCGCCGTGCTCTGTCCCGAGTGATCTGCAGGCCAAGGTAGCTGCGCAGTTCACCCAGGTCAGTGCAGGTGTGTCTCTTCTGTAGCTCGGACTTCACAAGGGTCAGTGCCTCAGTGTCCGCAGAGGCAAAGACGAGGTCGTCGACGTAGACGAGGACGTAGAAAG